TAAAGATATATGTATCTCTATGTTCATTGCAGCATTATTCATGGTGGTCAAGACATGGAAACAACCTAAGTGTCCTGTGATAGAGGATTAGATAAAGAAGATGTGGTACATATATACAATGGAATACTACTGAGTCATAAGAAAAGATGAAATACTGCTATTTGTAACAACATGGATAGACCTTGAGAATATCTTGTTAAGTGAAATAAGGTAGTCAGAGAAAGAATCATATGATTTCACTTACATGTGGGATATAAAACTGAAAGTAACAAGTGAACATACAAGATGAACAAACAAACAAAAAACCATAGACACAGACAACAGCGTGGTTACCAGAGGATTAGGGGGGCATGATGAGGTAGAAAAGGGTAACATGGGTCAAATACATGGTAATGGAAGAAGAGCTGACTTTGGGTGGTGAACACACAATGTAATACACAGAAGATGTATTATAGAATTGTATGCTTGAACCCTATATAATTTTATTAAACAATATCACCCCAATAAATTTAATTAAAATAATAGTCTATATCATTTCTGGGGATGAAAAGACACTTCTAAAATACACTATTAATATTATCTTACCATCATACTTTTGAAATAGTACCCCACATGTCAATGAACAAAAATCAGTGTATTTTAAATAATAAGGGTAATATACTTAATGGTGAAATGATGAAAAAAATAAATCTTAGTAGCTTTGTAGCAAGTTTGACCAGCATTTCAACTATTTGATGTGTTGTTTTGTATCTCAATAGATGTACTTGTAATATTATTGAAATTAAATATGTCTTGATTATATTCCCAGCAGGAGAATAAAAAAGTAGGATGTTAGAGAAAGTGGCTACTTGTTATATAAAGCATGAACAGAGTATCCATAAAATGGCTCACAGCTGGATATAAAAAAATCTGTGGAAATCAAATTTCAGGCATCCAACTGACATAATGATGAATCCTTAAAAATCATCATGAAGGCATTCTTATATAATGCAGTAATTCAATCTTCAACTAAAGGAGGTATAATAATTCTAGGTTATTATTTAATCATTTTTTAGAGTAGAACCTAACTTTTATATAATCTAAGAAGGGTTTATTTAGTAATTTCATCTTTACAAAAGGGCACTTGGAAGGCAGATACCATAGAAAATGTAATTCTTATCTCTTTTATGATTTTTGTATTACACAAATCACAGAATCTTAGAGTTCCAGAACTGTAGGGACATTTAAGATCAACTAATGAAACATCTTTATTATGCTCGTAAGGAATCAAGCTTGAAGAGGTTGTGAACAGTTAAAATCATGTCATTAACTGATCATTTGGAGAGACATACTGAGAATTCAGGCCTTCTAATTTCTAGCCCAAAGCTCTTTCCTGTCTCCGGACTTTCAACAGTACTCATAGTGTTTGACTCTTCAGCCCAAACCTCTTTTCTGAACTCGATTCATAAGTCCAGTTGGCTTCTTGACAGTTCTGCTTGGACAGATAAATATCTAAAACTTCACATCACAAAAATAAAGCATTTTTAAAAAAATTAAAGTATATTTGGCATGTAATGATATATTAGCTTCAGGTGTATAACATAGTGGTTTGACATTTATATTTCTAATGCTATCACCACAATATATCTAGTAACCATATCACTGTGCAAAGTTATCATGCTATTATTGACTATATACCTTTTCACCATTTTAAAAATTATATTTTATTGATATTACTATTACAGTTGCCCCAATTTTTCTCCCTTTGTAGTTTTGTAGCAAGACTCCACCCAACCTCCCCTGACTTCCTCAGGCTATCCCCATACTGTTGTCCATGTCCATGGGTCATGCATATGTGTTCTTTGGCTGTTCTGTTTCTTATGCTGTATTTCACATCCCCATGACTATTCTGTAACTACCAATTTGTACTTCTAAAAACCTTCATGTACTTCTTAAAGCCATCCCAGCTGACCCCCCTTCCATCTGGCAACCATCAGAATCTCTGTATCTATGATTTTGTTTCTGTCCTGCTTGTTTGTTTTTTTTAGATTAAATTATTGATAGATATGTATTTATTGCCATTTTATTGTTCATATTTTTGATCTTCTTCTTAAAGAAGATCCTTTAACATTTCGTATATACTGATTTGGTAGTGATGAACTCCCTTAGCTTTTTCTGGTCTGGGAAGCCCTTTATCTGTCCTTGTCTTTCATCACTTTGAATATTTTTTGTCATTCCCTTCTAGCGTGCAATGTTTCTTTTGAGAAATCAGCTGACAATCTTATGGGAGGTCCTTTGCAGGTAACTAAGTGCTTTTCTCCTGCTGCTTTTAAGATTCTTTCTTTGCCTTTAACCTTAGGCATTTTAATTATGGTATGTCTTGGTTTGGGCTTCTATGGGTTCATCTTGCTTGGGACTCTCTGTGTTTCCTGGACTTGCATGTCTATTTCCTTTACCAAATAAGGGAAGTTTTCTTTCATTGTTTTTTCAAATAGATTTCCAATTTCTTGCTCTTTTCTTCTCTTTCTGGCACCCTCCTGATGCAAATGTTGGAATGCCTAAAGTTGTCCCAGAGGTTCCGTACACAATTCTCATTGTTTTGGACTCTTTTTTCTTGCTCTTCTGATTGGTAATTAAATATGTCTTGATTATATTCCCAGCAGGAGAATAAAAAAGTATCTGATTGGTTGTTTTTTGCTTCCTTATGTTTCAAGTCATTGATTTGATTCTCAGTTTCATCCAATCTACTGGTGATTCCCTATAAACTGTTCTTTATTTCAATTAGTGTATCCTTTGTTTCTGACTAGATTTTTTTATGCTATTGAGGTCCTCACTAAGTTCCTTGAACCAGTGTTTTGAATCTGCATCTGATAGATTGCTTATTTCCACTTTGTTTAGTTCTTTTTCTGGAGTTTTGTTCTGTTCTTTCATTTGGGCCATGTTTCTTTGTCTCCTAATTTTGGCAGCCTCCCTGTGTTTTTCCCTGTGTACTAGGTAGAGCTGCTATGTCTCCCAGACTTGATAGAGTGGCCCTAATGTAGTAGGTGTTCTATAGGGTCAAATGGCACAGTTTCCCCTCTTAGCCAACCATGGTACTCAAAGTGCACCCAACTTGTGAGCTGTGTATACCTTCTTGTCATTGAGACTTGACTGCTGTTGGCACATCCAAGGTTAGCCACCACCTGTGTTCTGTCCTCGGTCACACAGCATAAGCTACAAAACAATCTGCAGATGGCTGCTACTTGTGCTGGGCTTGGAGGTGCCCAGGAGAGGCCATACTGTGAACCAAAGCCAGCTGCTGCCAGTGCCAGGCTTGGGGCAACTTAATTTGAGGCACAAGGCTCGCTGAAGCCAGTGCTGCCTGTTTGAGAGAATTAGGAAAACATGGGCCAAGACAGGCTGTTTGTATGGAAAAGCCACTGGAAACAGCTTTGGTGGCTTGAATGCTGGGTGGGGTAGGGCCTTAGGGAATCACCAGGGCAGGACAAACAGTGTGAGCCAGGTTGATGGAGTCTCAGATGTGGTGCCTGCCCCCTGAGTCTGTGGCTTTGTGCAGGGAGAGTCCAGAAAAGGAACAATGGTGTCTGCCAGCACTTCTGTCTGGGAGAAAGCTGTACCTGTCCCCCCTTCCCCAGCTCTTGCCCTGATGCCAGACAATTCAGTTCATCCATGTATGTCTCTGATGCCTTTTAATCTGCTTCCCTGGTTTTGGAGCTCAGAGGGAGTGAGTTTGAGTAAGTCTGTGTGTGGAACCCTGAAGAGGAACTTCCTGGAATTCCAGCAGTTTCTGTCTTCTACAGTTTCAATCCCTGCTGGTTCTTACAACCAGAAGTTATGGAGACTTATCTTTCTGACACTGGAATGCTGGGCTGGGGGTCTTGGTGGGGGCCTGGTACCCCTTGCTCCCGAGATATCCATCCTGATTTTCATCTGCTACCTGTGGGTGTGGGACCAGCCCATTCCACATCTGTGCCCCTCCTACCAGTCTTGATGTGGTTTCTTCTTTAATTTTGTAGTTGTAGGACTTTCAGCTCAGTTTCTGAAGGTTCTGAATGATGGTTGCTCTACAGTTTAGTTGTAATTTTGATGTGGTTGTTCAAGGAGGTGCACTGTGTTTACTTATGCCACCATCTTGACTGGAAGTCCATCCATCAAAAACAGAGCTCTTAATGTCCTGCACCAAATCTATTCCTTCTTCAGTCTTTCTCATCTGAGTCAGTGGTACTGCCATCCAACAATTTTCCCAGGTCCAGAATTTTGAAATTGTTTTTGATTCTTCCCTTTCCATAATAGACCCCATCAAGTTCATCAGCAACCCCTATTTAATTAATACATAATTAAAAAATGATGGCTCTTTCCATGTCTGCTACAATCATACTCCAAGCCACCTAAACCTCAAATGCCTGAAACACCCTAACTGGTTTACCTGTCTTTACTTTTCTCCTATTCTCTCTTCTTCATACAGTGCTTAGAGTAATCAATCTAAAATGAAACCATAAAGCATTTGGGGGAAAATGTGCTTTTCTCTTTCACATTATCAAATGCTTAACTTCCTTCCTAGTTACTTAAGCTTCTGCTTCCTGGGAGATGATTTTTACTGTTGCTAAAAGAATGTGAATAGAGGAAAAATGTATATTAAGCTTTTGAAATAAAAAGTAGGTCTTTAAAACAAGAAAACAGCTTTGCAACTCAAACTATCTTGACACAGAATTTTTCAGATTCCTGTATCATTCCCTTGTATATGTTAAACCTAAAGGAAAAGGCCAATTGAGTTCTCACATAAAAAGAACAGCCGGGGTAAAATGGGAGGTCAGAAAAGCTAGGACAGTTTGAAAACCAAATTTTTATTAGCTCTATTTTTTAAACATTCTCAGTATAAAAGAAAGATCTGAGTCTTTCTATGACAAAAACATGATTGCATCTTGCCATTGTGCTTAACTTTTCTTCATAATCAATCGAGTCATGCTAACAGAGATAGTAAAAGTTAAACGTGACAGCCATATCTAAAATTGTTGTCTCACCAAGTTTTCTGGGGAAGAAGCACTATGACCCTTCTCCACTGTGTGAACTCGCTGGCATGGTAGATACTTGACGATGTAAATTCCTGACAACTTGGCATACTTGGAAGGCATTCCTAGAAGAGAATCAGGCAAAAATTAAACAGCCTCTATGTCCTCCAGGGGCAATATGTTTACTTGCTTCCCATAAGTGAAAAAGACCTGAAGGAAATCTAATGTAATAATATTAACCATTTGCAGTATGATGCAATCCATGATTTTTCCTTTTGTGAAGCTAAAATATTTGGGAAATAATTAAAATGAGATGCCATAATGGAGTTAAATGTCTTCCAGATCTCACATGTAAAAATAGAAATGGATTAGGATCCATTTTTTGATCTGCTATTATAACACTGGCATTTGGTAAAATTATTCTATTCACTATGATATTTATGAACTTTTTGCAACTTCAGATTATCAGTGTATATATAAAGAAGTACATTTTATTCTAAGGAAGTGAATCAATGCACTTCTTTTCCTGTTTTTTTTTTAAGGCAAGAAATACCATATTCTTAATAAGATCTACGTACAGGTAAAGAGACTTAGAACAGATGAAGACATACTATAGGGAAAGAAGAAAGAGATACATTTACAGAGGAAGAGGGTTAGAGAAAATAATATTAAAAACACTACGATAGAGTATCCAGGCCTGAAGGTATTCCCATTTCTTTTTCATTTTCAATTACCCTTTAGCATCTGATAGTGCAGAATATGGCATCCTTATAATTTGCTGCTGACTTTATGTCAATTCTGTTATAAATAACACTGTTTCTTTTCAAACACACCTAAATTTTTAGAATTGCAATTCTTCACTTCCTATGCAAAAAAGGAACAGGCTGCCTATCACAAGCTTTACAGAAAATAAACTTACTTCTTGAACAAGGTGCCAGGTAAGGCCATGGTTTGTTGAATACTCCAGTTTCACCTGGTTGTCCATGTGTGGAGTGTATTTCTGGCCACATCCCATCACCAAGCTGAACTGAATCATATAGGATGCTCCTATCTGCATTGATTGGGTTTCCACATAGCGCATACTTGAGGCAAGTTTAGAATCTCCTGTAAAACTGAAATACAGAGATAGAAATCAGAAAATTAAAAGCAGCAATGTATTAAGGAAAAATTAACCTCTTCATGTCACACACCAAAACAGTTTCATTTTACTTATATAAACCTTGTAAGTTCTAGGATGGATTTCAGATAATCTAATAAATGCAGTTTAAAACAACCTATCAAAGGCACTATATATTTATTTTTAAATAGTTAATACCTAGAGTTCTCAAATGTACTTGAAAATGGGTACTCAACTCACTCCCATATTGTTCATGAATATAAACTCTTTGAATTATTAATCTCACTTCTTTGAATCTATCCTAGGAAATACCCTAAATTCAAAGGCAAATTTTATAAAATATGATGAATGTTGCTGGTTTACTGATAATAATAATTGGTAACCATTTCAATATCAAACTATAGGGAAAATGGAATGCTTAAGTGAACTGGTAGCCACTTGACAGATTATCTGTATTTCAAATGTTTATGAAGGTAATCAATCAAATTAACATGCATATGATAAATTAAGTTTGAAAAATCCACAAAATTATGCATAAAGAAAATTCACTAGAATATTTTCAGTGGCTGTATTTGGTGGTGGAACACATTTTCACTGCAGTTAATATGCATCATGTGCAATTTTTAGCAATACTAAAAAAATAAAAGAAATCAACATAGAACAAAAATACTTTTTAGCTGTACAGGCACAGACTCATCTGTACTTTAAAGTAGGTGAAAAATCTTGAATGCTTCTCCCTGTGAGAAATAAATGCTTCTTTTAGCTTCAAGGGTTAAATACTCTTTCTCATACCCTTTGTAAGAAAGGTAATTAGAGGCAGCCAACTAGGCTTCATTTGATTTGTTTAAAAGATAATTATTTTCACAGTCAGCTCCTTGTAAATTCCTCCCTACTGAGATGTTTAGTGTCCTCTAAATTCTATAAAGGGACAGAAAGAAATGTTGTATTTTATAAATATTGCCTGCACCTGACTTTTGCATGATAACAAATTAACAGCTTTGTTGAAGGGAGGAAGTATTCAAACCTGAGGAGAAGTGTGTGCTCTATGAACTATCCTGAGCTTTTAAAGGTGCCAAGACACCAAAAAAGAAACAGGGTGAAAATTACATAAAAGGAAAAGAGGTGAAATGAGAACAATTAAATAGTGATAACATTTTTACTTAGCATGAATATCTCCACTGGCATTTGTGACAGGTGGTTGGGTAGTCGGATCCTGCTGCCATCCATGATCTCTTTTCTCCACATTTACCACCTAGGAGTTGGTCTACATCCACAAGAGCTCTCACCAATGGGACGTAAGTAAAGGATGCTAGATGGATTCACTCATTCAGCTTTAAAATAGCCTTTTAAAAGATACAGATGGACTTGGCTGGCATGCCTGTTTGCCTGATGCTCTTAATGTCTTCCTTCCTCCCTATCGGGCCACAGGCATCTTGTGACAATAATGGAAGGAACAGCGTTCAGATGAAGTCTCTCAATTGAGATGGGAGATAAGAGAGCCTGGGTCCCTGAGAGTCTTGTTAAGCTGCTTACCAGCCCTGGACCACATATCCCAGAACTGCTTGTTACAAATGATAAATAAGCCACTTTATTCTGGTTTATGCCATGGTCATTCTTTTCTTGTTTTTGTTGTGACTTAGAGCTGAATGGGTTACTAACTGCTACACTTGCCATACATCTTGGTACTGTATTACACCCATCCTGATGTCTTAATCTGAAGCAAAATCACAAATGAAGAGGACAGACATCTAAGCCTTAAAATCTTGACCATTCCTATCACAAGTTGACTTGGTTGTTTATGATTTATTTAATACTGGTTGAAAGCCAGTGATAGTAGATCTGTATTTTTCCTTCTGAATACTCTGATGCTCATACTCAATTGGAGTTTTAGGGGAGAGAATTTCACAGACATTTAATTGACAAAACTGATCCTCTTTGCAGCTTGTCTAAGTAATGATATGTTTATAAAGGCAAAAAACAAGCTGAACTTCTTATCTTTTATAATCATATAAATAAAAGAGAAGAGTACACATCTGCATTTTGGGGAAAAATTCTGGAGACAGAATGCTTTGGGAATCATGTGGCTTAGTTTTATTCATGTTGCTTTGCAAGATAAAAAAAAAAAAAGAACAATTAAAAAGCTCCTGCATCTAATTACACAATTTAATGAGAGAATGGGGATGACTCTTTCCACTAGGACAAGGGTTTTTCCATTTTCACCGTCCTGTCTCCATACATTTCCACCTCTAAGAAGGCTAGCAGGCTCTCTGTTATGACCCTGGTAAAATGGATACGTAGCCCACAGTACAGGTCCTGCGCCTCCTTCTCCCTCGCTTCTTTTCACGTATTGCTGAGGATCTGCTTTCCTGACCCCGTTGGAAGCCTCTCACATGCAGAAATCACATCTTGTTTATCTCTGCATCCCCTAGAACACTCAGAACCTTGTGTTGGTGCATGCAGGACATTATGATTTTTCCAACAGCTGGATTACCTCATTTGATTTTTGAGTCAAGACCATTTGGAAGACATCAGAGATCTTTAACATTGTGCTATGGAGAAGGAAAACTGAGAGTCTGAGTTGTTGGCTCCAGGGTCACACAGTTACTAAAAAACTGGAAATGAGGTCTTCTGATTTCTACTTTGATATCCTTTCCATTACATCATGCCTATAAATGGCACTTAAAGAATGTTAAACAAAATGAGCATATGAGTGAGGTCTCTCAATTGGGGAAAAGCCAAGTTTTGCAAAATGATAGTTACTTAAACACTGTAATGAACACAGACCAGGTTTTAAGGTTGTCCTCGTTCTTTCTGCATTTCCCCAGAGCCTCTTTGCCATCTCTAGAAAAAAGGCTCTTTCACATGAAAGGCAGCTACACATAACCAAAGTGAGTGGGAGCATGAGTTCTGCAGAGCTCATTCCCAGAGAAACAGCAGAGCAAAACAAAGCTGCTCTTGGTTTGATACTGTTTAGAAGGTTTATCTGCAGAAGGACACGTGGATAAATCTAAGCATCTCTAATGTCATCTTTTTGGGAGTTTTGTTCTTATAATTATTAAAGAACTATTTACTAGAGTTGAAAGAAAAACTTGTTGATATCGTGGAATTAAAGGTGGCATTTTAAATCATTTGTTATTTCTACAATATTATATCTCAAAACAGAAATAAGGATGTAATTGTAGCAGATTATATAAACTTTACTTTTATTGGAAAAAAAACAGTATGACAATATAGAATCATTGTTTTAAAAGTAAAAAAATCTGCAATTCTACTACATAGAGATGACTGCTGCTAAAATTTTGGTATAAATACTTTCAAACTTATGCTCACACACAAAAATATATACACATATACATTCACTTTTCTTTCTTTTAAAAACAATCATAAAATCATAATCAACCCGCTCTATTTTCTTTTTAAAACTACTTTATTACTCTCTTTCCGTATGGAAAAAATATGGTGAGGTACTGTCAGTTTTAATAAATAAGGCCAATATCCAATTATGGAAATCTGTGGAGGTTGTTTCCATCTTTCACTGTTATAAACAATGCTTCTATAATATACATCTTTGTATATCTTGTGTGTTTGTCCAATTATTTCCTTAGCATAAATTCCTAGAAGCAGAATTGATTGCTCAAAGCAAATTTTTAAAATGAACACACTGCCAAGCTGCCCCCTCAAAAGCTTGTATCAACTTACATTTACCAAGAATATTAACAATGACTGAGCTGCTACGTCTTACCACTTGTCAATACTAAACATTGACGATATTTTCATTTTAGCTATTCTATGCGTATAGCCTTTCACTATACATTTCTCTGTTTATTAAATAATTTAATAAACAGCATTGGTCACCAGTTTGATTCCTGGTCAGGGCACATTCCTGGGATTCAGGTTTGGTCCCTGGTCAGGATGTATATGAGGAAACCGATCAGTGTTTCTCTCTCATATCAATGTTTCTCTCCCTCTCTTTTTCATGTTTATTGGTTATTTGTAGTGTGTGTGTTTTGTGTGTGTGTGGTCTTTTCATGTACTTAGCCCATTTTTTAAATTGAGATTTATCTTTCTTTATTTGTAAGAGTTTTTCACATAATGACAAACTCATATAGTCTGTCATATATGTTGCAAATAGTCCCCTGCTCCTAATTTGCTGTCATATTTTGTTTTCAGAAGGCCTCTGTACCTCAATACAAATTTCAAAATTTTAAGTTGTAGCCCTGACCAGTGTGGCTCAGTGGTTGGTCGTACTTCAGCAAAGCAAAAGGTCACCAGTTTGATTCCTGGTCAGGGCACATTCCTGGGTTTCAGGTTTGGTCCCTGGTCAGGATGTATATGAGGAAACCGATCAATGTTTCTCTCTCATATCAATGTTTCTCTCCTTCTCTTTTTCCCCTCCCTCCTCATCTCTCTAAATATAAATAAATAAAATCTTTAAAAAATTAGAAAAAAATTTAAGTGGTGGACTATGTGACCTTTATGGTCCCGGATTTGTTGTCATGTTTTACTGGTATCTATTGAGACTACCTCTGCGCCCAGTGCATAATCATTTTTTGCAAATATCCAATAGACATTGAAAGGAATATATATGTGTTTGTGTGTATATGTGCGTGTATACAAACACATATATTTCACCTGTAGGGTACAAAGTTTTTATTTATTAAATCATCCTTGTTAATTATCTCCATACTTTTGTCTAGGTCTTCATTTATTTTTTGGTTTGCTTGATCCATCAGGAACTTAAACAAAATATTAAAGTCATATTCTGAATTATGGGTGTTGTACTTTTTCTCCCTATAATTCTAACAGGTTTTATATTATGCTTCCTGTTTTATGGCATTCGGTGTTTGGAGGACCATGGACTTCTTTTCATCTTCCAATGGACTTCTAAACCCCACAGCACCACCTCTCTTATAGGTCTCTAGCCCCAGCTTCAGTCTAGAAGAGTTTAGTGGGGCCAGCAGTGAGGGAGCCGCTTAGCTTTCACTCGCTCTACTC